GATTAAGCACTCACTTATACCACTCAATTTTGGCTCTAATGCTGTATGCTTACAAGGCAAAGTTAATCTGTAGAGTGCTCGCTCTTTCCGTTTCTCCCTCCGCTGTATTGCTCTGAATCTCTTTCGCTCAATTTGTCTTCCTTTCGGGCTAAAACCCAGAGGCTGTGCTAATCACTGTAGCAGCAGCTTTAAGGAGATGCTGCTGCGTTTTTAGAAAAGAATCCTGTTAAGCATGATTTTTAAGAAATGTGTTGAGGGTAAAACTATCTCTTCACTCAAAGTAGTGTATAAAACAAAAACTAGCTTTTTCTTTAAAAATAACTAGCTCTCTTCACAGACAGTAGCAGCTAACGCATCAGTGCCTTTTCTCCAGCTTTACCTTTTATTGTAAACTGCTGTTAACATTTTATGCATTTGTCTGCTCTTTATTGCCCACAGCTGAACTACGTCTGTCTGTTACTGAAATATCTCGTCAACCACATAAGGAATTGTAATGAATCTTGCAGAAATTAGTCATTGGAAGAACATCTACAACTTATTAACTTTTGGAATCAACACAACTCAAGATGTGTACCACTGCCATCTTCCCTTAAAAACTACAAAAAGTATCTATAACTCAGTCAGATTTAGAGATATTGACCTAAAGTTTGCTGTGGCAGTAGCTGAGGATGAGCCCCAACACAATTTATGAGTGTTTACAGATTATACAAGATCTTTGTTCAAAATGTTGCCGTTTACTATCTTGAGTCACTGATGGCAAAATATCTCGATGAATCACTAGACTGCTTTTATCCATGCTGCTGATCTCATGCTGCTGTATTCATACCCATCTCACCACTGACTCATGTTCGGATTGCGGTTTATTTAATATATTGTATTATGTTACATTATTAATGTTTAGCATATATCTTAGGTTATATCTTTAGATCCTTGTATACTGTTTCTGTTTATATCCAAAAAAGTTAAATCTGGTCCTCTGGACATTCAAAAAAACAAAACAAAGCAAAACAACAAAAAAATGTAGAAACGTTTCGTCTCTCATCCGAGAGACTTCCTCAGTCTGAGGTGCTGTATTCAGCTCAGTCTCTTAAGTAACACCTTCTCAGAGTGGATCAACCAGTTTTGCTGCTGACAACCAAAACCAGCTGATCACATGCTCAAGAAGGACCATCAGCCTAACAATGGATCATTAGCACACTGATGGCTGTTTACTATTCTAGTGTTCTAGTGTTACTATTCTAGTGTGCTAATGATCCATTGTTAGGCTGATGGTCCTTCTTGACCATGTGATCAGCTGGTTTTGGTTGTCAGCAGCAAAACTGGTTGATCCACTCTGAGACGGTGCTATTTAAGAGACTGAGCTGAATACAGCACCTCAGACTGAGGAAGTCTCTCGGATGAGAGACGAAACGTTTCTACATTTTTTTGTTGTTTTGATTTGTTTTGTTTTTTTGAATGTCCAGAGGACCAGATTGAACTTTTTTGGATTTTTCTACCTGGATTATTGAGCATGCATCAGGATGTTTCTGTTTATACTTTATATTTTTAGTATTTTTGGATGTAACGTATTTTTCACTGTATAAGTCACACCTTTGTGCATAAATTAGCATGCCCTGTGACTTATATAGCAAAGTGACATATTTACGTTTTTTTTCCCCATATTTATAATCCAATTTTTGGCTGAGATATGACGATTTCATTCATTCTGACATGGGAAATATTGAACACTACCATTTTCAGCCACTAGAGGGCTCTTGAGCAACATGGCAAGCCAAGTGTCTCATTAATGGGTAAAAGTGGCTATTTATTAATGAGACACTTGGCTTGCCATACCAAGTCACCTTTGTCTCACTCTGGAACTCCTGGAGCAAACATCAAATCAGCTGCATTTCACCTGGTGAAATGCAGCTGATTTTACCATCAGTGTGCATTTATTAAGGAAAAGTTAAACTGAGACACACCTTTGCTTTAATTTCGAGCAAACACATAATTGTTTTTAAGTGTTGATCTTGTTAAATTCTTGTAAAAGTCCTCATGTGCACTCTCCCGTGGCCGCCATTTGGCAGCCAATTGATTTTTGGCACAACACCGGCCCATGTTTCAGGGTTGTCAGCGGTGACACATAATTGCGACTTATACGGTGAAGCGACGTGTACGGCGGCAAGTGCGGTAACTGGGACCTTGAGTACACAATTTCATTCCACCTCAAGTACCACATGTGGTGCGAATGACAATAAAGAAACTTGAACTTGATTTTAATGAAACTGTCAGGAAATAATCAATTGGATGTAGCTCCACAATTTAACAGCTTTTGTAATCAACCTTAGCTAAGATAGCCACTCCAGCTGATCAACCTTAGCAAACACATACATGAGTGTAATTCAGATGATTTTACACATATTGTGGTCAAATTTGTTGCGGTAGTCATAAAAACTCTCGCAACTTTTACGTGAACTGCTGCTATTAGCATGAGTTTTTTTTTACTCTAGCAATAACTGATAAAGTTAACACTGTCTGTCTGTTAGCAAAATATTTCATGAACCACTAGGACATATTTCAACAACACCTACAGAAAATAATCATTGGAAGTACGTTTGTAACTGATATTTTTTGAGTCAATCAAGTTCAAGATGGCCACCACTCCCAGTCAGTTCTATCAACAGAAAAATAATAATTATTCATAATTAATTAACTCTAAATCAATTGATTACTTAAAAATAAGGTAATTCTCTATAAATTGAGCAAAAAGTTGATGTGGTAGTAGCTGAGAGTCATTCACAACAAATACTTTTGAGTGTGACTTAAGATTGTGCATGATTTTATTTATTTATTTTACATTTAGCCAAAATGGCTACAACTCCATATTTCTTAACACAAGTTGATCTTAGTGTAATATTTTGTTGTAAAGAATGCTAGTGCTTTCTTCTGCACTAAAGCTCTTCCTGTTTTGTTTAATTAATAATCAGCCACACTAACGTAAAATGAATAAATGCTCTCAGAAGCAGCACGGTTTGAACTGACGTGTTGGATTTTGGAGCAGCTAAGGATGATTTGTGCATTTGTCTTTGTACAAGCACATGATGTAATTTGAAGACGGTGGGGGATTAATGAAAAAAACAACACTATAATGCTCCTCAGCTCACTGATTCTGTTATTTTTATCATTCTGTTTTATTTATTTATAATTCCTTTTAATTCCTGTGCTCGTTGTAATGCGTTTTTCGCCGTCTCTTCAAGCTTATGTGAAACAGGATGAGTTACAATGAAACTAACTAAAAAACTGTATTTTAAAATTAAAGCTAACTTTATTCCATCAATTGTATTTTCTTCCTTTTTATCCCCCGTTTGACTCTGTACGACCCGAGTGCTTAAGGGAATAAAAAAAAAAAAAGAATGGCAGACATATTGTAGGCTAAATCTAATCAAAGAGAGAAGTGCCTTTGAATGTCTTTTGTTCCCTTGGGCAAAGCGTTTTGTAGGCCTGCTGTTCCTAACTGGTGCATCATGCTCAAACTCCTTCGTTTTAAAATACGATTAATATTGAACAGGTACTGTGGTCTGTGCTCCCGTCATATAATAGCAGCATTAGAACAAAGGTTAATGCTTTGGATTTAATCTCTGTCCTCATCATTTTTAGTAGAGTTGCACTGCAAGTGAGGGGAGCTGGAACGGTTGAGGGGGGCGCAGGGAGTTGGTAGTCAGAGTGGGGCTCAGACGGAAGCAAAATTAATTACTGGTCTCTATAAATTCAATGTCATGTCTCATTTTCTTTAATCCTCCCAGCCTTTCTCACTTCCTAGTGGTTCTAACAGAGAGGCTTGGAAAGACTAATGAAAAGGCCTCTTAGATGCTAATAGCAAATTAGCCTTCGTGTCACTTTTGGAGGCTGTGAGTGGAATGACTGCCTGCTCACTCAGGATATGGTGGGTGGCAGTCTGAACTGTCCCCTGCCCCATAAAAAAAGGTCGAGTTTTTACATTATCACAGCTTTTTTTACACGTTCAGTCTTTTCCACCACGATTTACAGCTGTGATGGTGTGTTTCTAAAACAAAAGCCCACTATTCTGAGAACCTCCTCTTTGGAGGGTTTAGTGGTTTGGAGCAGGAATAATAAGTTCAGTCTCATTCCAGCTCTCTTTCTGGTTGTTGCTAGTCTGGACCAGAGTCAGATTTAACAACTCACTTGGATGATTGTCTCATCAGGCCTCAGACGCAAACAAATGAAGTCATGTGCTCGGATGAAACTTTTTCTTTTCTTTCTAACGAATCTAGCAAGACATTTTGAAGAATTAAAAAAAAGTGCATTTATTAATGGGACTTCAGATCTCAGTGACAAAATCTGTTTTTGTTTTCAGTCCTCACAACGTTCTAAAACCTTTGAGTCTCTGACAATATGATACAATCTGCCACAAGTTACACAAAGTTTGTCAGTTCATGGGAAACTCACACAACTGAATGATAAATCTGTAGTTTGTGTTTGCTGAGAAGCCATTCCGTCTCAGACAGTTGTGAAACTGCTTTCTGTCAAAGGTAATTGTATATGAGGTATTAATGAGAGTTTTGGGGGCTATAGACAGACTTCAGTTATGAGCTTTGCCTTGCTCACATTTTTCTTTCTTTTATTTTACCACAAATAAAGCCAAAGAAAAATCCCAGTGCTTAACTTGCAAACTTTACTCTCTCAGCCAACGCAGAGATGCAGAGAGAAAAAAGGAAAACCAAATAGAGAAACAAGAATCATTCCTGAGAAGGCAGCCAGCCAGAGTGTAACGTGCATTTATGTAAAACTTATAATCCAATTAACAAGTACAAAAAACTCACTGATCATTTCATAATGGGAATACAAAGCAGAGAGGTGCCATGTTCGGGAAACTGCTCAAGTGTTCAAAATGCAAATGGCGTGAAATGAGTGTGTCTGGTAATGTGTTTGAATTAAACCCCATGCTGTGGCAAATGGCCAGAGCCCTGATAACTCTGTTCCCTCTTGTTTTTTCTTTACAGGCATACTTCCGACAGGGTGTTGCCCTTCAGTACCTTGGTCGCCATGCCGACGCACTGGCGGCCTTTGCCTCTGGGCTGGCCCAAGACCCCAAGAGCCTGCAGCTACTTGTGGGCATGGTCGAAGCTGCGATGAAGTCGCCGTTACGAGGTGAGGGATGTTGTAGCTGAACTGAGCCTGCGTGTTTCACTGGTTATCATCCTCACACCACTATCCACGTGCATCTTCACTCCCCACAGCTGTTTAAAAGCTTGTCTCGGATAATCCTGATTCTGTCAGTCAATATCTGTGTTGGGGTGACTTTATCTGCCAATTTTTTGTAGCTTTTCTGTAAGGAGGCTGTGTCTGTCTCTGTTTTTTCTTTCTTTCTGATTGTTGGTGTCAAGTACTTACCTTCAGCCTCTAAAGGATAATGGCTGCAGCTTCAGCATATCTTTTTGTCAGTCAGGCTGATCACACGTACAGATACCCTCTTATCTTAATGAGCATCCAACATTAATGCTATTGTGTTTGACTGCCTCTCTGTAAGCTTTTTTCTTAAAGCTGAATTGTTTTTTATAGTAACTGAAACCAAGATTGCAACAGTAAAAGTCAATATGTTTCTCATGGATTATTACCAGTTCTGTTAGGTAAACACAATAACCTGTCGATAGGAGCTTTTACAAAACACCTGAAGACACTTCAAGGACTTAGACACCTTCATGTGATTTCTGAATGGACTGTTGTGCCTTTGTGCCACCAAGCGTGGTAGTAACAGTCGACATGTGAACAGATAAACCGGCTTTGCACGTTCAAGGATGTGATGTAGTGATGACATATGGCCTGTGCGACCACCCAGCTACAGGATTTAAAACCTAAACAACAGGAAACAGATCCACTCTAGAGAAGATCAGTGATCACACACACAACTGTGCATTTAGTATAAAAAGTTACCCCCATAAAAAGATAAGATAAGATGAGATAGAACTTTATCGATCCCGCAGGAAATTGCATAGAGGGTAGCTAAACTGAGTTAAATCGACATGTTTTAAAAACGATGAGTGATGCGTCTTTAACATCTTTAATGTGTAGGATTCCACATCGATGCAGCCGAGTTCTGCTCCACGCCTTGTTTGGTTCAGTGAAACTTGCTTTAGTTCTAAAAGCGCACATCTGCAGGACATGACTGGCTCTAAAAGTTGTTGATGAACAGCCACAGCAGCTTAATCTGGTCTTTGCAGCCATTTTGCAGAACTATTTAGGAGAAGTGTCCAGTGATAAGAAGATAGTCACAAGTAGGGCTGGACTATCGTTTGCATTTGCTGCATGGGTTTCTCTTTTGATACAGCTGGGGGCGTTGTTTCAGGGACACGTTGGCTCAAACTTTTATTGTGCTTCATCGTCTGACTCTCATCATATTCTATCGAGTGGAAACTCTTCAGACGAAACAAGTTAGATGTGTTCCCACCGCTAGTTGGAACGACTCTGTCACATTTTGGAGCACACTGAAACCTGCAGTTTATCGGATCTTTGAAAGCTGAACCACTTCCACACCGCCGAATTAGTCTATCCTCTTTTATCAGTTCTGTCATCTGCTTTCTCTTTGCTTGTGAAAGCTTGTTCAGTCACATTCTGATGGTCATGGGCACTCATTTAGAAGCAAAAACTTACCGTGCGTTGAAACTTGGCCTAGCCTATAGCCTCCTACCGCTGACTCCTGGGCTCGAGCTCTGTGTGTAGTGTACGTCACCACGCACTTACGTAGGTACGTGTCACGGCCTTTTCTGTTCGGGTTGAAAAGGCCACCGCTTCAACCCGAACAGAAAAAGAAATGCATCAGTGAAACGCTGTAATCCTAGAGTAATGTATATAGAAATATCGAAATGTGCTTAAAACTCATATCCCAGTTATTGAATAAAAGTATATTGTGAAATATATCTATCAAATTATTGTCCAGCCCTAGTCACAAGACATCCTAATAGCTTTGTCTTTGGTGATCAATAGAGAAAGTTTTACCTCAGGACATCCTTTAAGTCTTCTACAATCCTAGTCAAATTATATCAACATTGTGCTAATGAATAAATGTGGTCAGGCTTTAGGATTCTAAAAGTTTAAATATGTGCAACATGATAAGTAGACCTTGGTGACATAGAACCTGAATTCAAACAGCTGTCTGGATATTTGTGCACAAGTGCCAAGGAAGAGAATGACTCGGAAATTAAATAAACTAAAAGGAATTGAAGGCCTGCCTTACGCACCATGAGTTTTCAAGCCTTCCCCTGGAACCAAAACAAGAAAAGAGTTTGGGTGTGAGCCCAGACTGGTGCATTGTGGTCCAGAATGGGTCTTCTCAATAGGAGATGGCCAACATTTAGTCTAAGCCACTTAATCTTCTAATTGTTTACCCTATTTCCCAGTGTGCCAGGCAGCCACCAGAGGACCTGATCCAAGGTGTGTTAAGGAGAGGTAGCTAGGTCAAAGGATTAGGAACAATGATCCACTCAGAGGGGCTCTTGGCACACGAGGGCGATAATCAATGTTACGCCAGCAAACAGGGAGGATAATCAGTGTTACACAGACAAAGACCAATGATTAGTGAAAAGTAGAACTGCCTTTTCTCTTTTAATATTAAACTGTTTTTTTAGATTCAGTTTGTCGGTAAACCTTTTTCACCACGTTAAGTTGAGTTAACCAACATCAGAGCAAGTGTTTGACTTTAAATTGCAATTAATATTTGTTAATTCAATAAAGTCTAGTCTTCAGTCAGATACATTTATTTACTGTTGGAGATAAAATTGCCATTACACAAAATGTGTATTTTAGCAATTAGTTTGATAATTACTCTTGTAGTCTCTATATACACTCTAAAAGCCACAGTCTTCCCCTGAATAAACTGTAACTTAATGTAATTGACACGTTGCCTAGAAAGAGCTGATTACATCTGTTTGTGATCGCAGTACTCACTAATCGCAGGCGTTTATTTTACCACTGACATATCAGCACTGTTTTCTGTCCAGTTGAAGAAATTCGGCTGATGACATCCATATAGAAACAGAAAATTTAATAAATCAGAATAGAGAAAGACAAATATTGAGGCTCAGATTAATCTAAGAATGTATCTTATTTGCATCAATTAGTTGTAGATTGAAAATTGAAATGACTTTTTTGCATCTTGTTTTTTTTCTTGATTCAGTATAGACATTTGGTATCATGTTCATTTTATCTTTTGCAATGTGGAAGTAACAAAAGGGCATATTTTGGGGTAGCTGTGGCTAAGTGGTTAAAGTCATCCTCCAATGGGAGAGTTGGGGGTTTGATTCCACTACTATGCAGTCAAATGTTGAAGTGTCCCGGCCAGACACTGACCCCCTCACTGCCTCTGTTCCATCGGTGGATGAATGTTATCTAAAGCACGGATTGCTCGTAGTCTCTATAGAATGATTTGTTTGATTAGTCTTTGTAGAGATGTAGTAGAGCGCTGTTTGTGTGTGTGTGTGGAGGTAACGGAGGGCACAGATTGTTGTAAAGAGCTTTGAGTTGATTAGATAGAAAGGTGCTATATCCATTTATTCTTTACCATATTAGGATGAATTCATTCAAAAAAAAATTTTTGTTTGTTTTGTTGTTGCTTTGTGGACCATACTTTTACACATGTAAACTACTAAAAAATGACCTTTTACTCCAAATTACTCTGAATAACTCATGAAAACAACTCAACTCAGTGAGAAACAGGAACAATTAAAACGAAAAGTTATACTGGTAGTTTACAAAAGTTTTACTTCTTTCCTACACTTTTCTCTTACCTTTGAAAGACTCACAATTACGTATTTAGATTTATGATAACACATTTAAAATGATTGTTTTATGTTCTTCTGATTGACATGTTAAGTTTATCACGTTAAGTTGTAGTGTTGGTTTTTAAGTAACACCTTCAGTTACTGACCACTTTGCTTTCTTCTAATATTATGGGTTATTTTAAACAAACTTGTAAGTCTAAAACATAAAACAAATAGGAATATAAATTTGGGTTATTTGTTTTCCGTGTAAAATCATTTAGATACTTTTTTATTTGGTAAAAATTGCTGTTCTTTGCCTTTGAGCTAGCTTTGGATTATTATTGGTACTAGACCAGAAAATGTATGTTAAATAGTTTATTTATTTTATTTATTTCCAACAATATTATGCTTCTTTGTAACATTTGTAAAACTAATTTGTAATATTTTATTACGTATTACTCAAAATAAAACAATTTGCTTTTGTACTCCAAGATGCTCCATTAAAAGTACTTTTTATCTGATTAACTTGAAGCACTGCAAAACAAGAATTAAGATGCAAATATAGCTGGATTGTTATTATTATAGTTTTATTTTGTTAAACATGATCACCTTCTGACACTCTGAGCTGTTTGATTGATTGAGTTTCAGTACGAGACCAGCTGTTTGGCTGTCACGAGGAAATACATATTCTTTTGGCATTTCTAATAGGGCCAAACAAAATATGGGCTTGGCAGCTCAGTTTCTCAACAGGTCGAGTCAGACAGCTGCGCTGCCCAGTAGGTAGCTCATGCTGCCAACTCGGAATGCTTAGCAGATCCAATCAAGTGGCTCAGCTGCCCAGTGAGTTGCTGCTTGATATGTCCATCTAAACAGACGAGAACTTTTTTAGGGACTTTTTAAAACCGTGTGGCCTGAAATATTTCGACGGTAGGAGTGAACAACTAAAATTGTTCCTTGCAAAAAGCTTTTTTTTTTCTTCTTCTTTGAAATGTCAAACAGGCTTGAGGAAAATCTGAAACCTAAAAATAATATAATAAAATAAAAATCTTTGTTTTAAATTGAGATTCAATATTGTGGAAAAATGGGAAAACCCCTTTTCATCATGAGATCCTTATACTAGCTCTGAGGCACGGAGGTGGTAGTATCATAGATTGTGCATGTTTTAAATGCAGCTGGACTGCTTGTTATTACTGAGGAAGCAAATTGAACCAAAGTGTGATGTGAAGCAAGAAGACTCCAAGCAACTAGGCCATTCTTTCAATCAAAGGTTGATGAAGGAATAACCTTTTGGAAAAGTTATGAAAAGCTTGTTTTAGTCTCGTAAATTGTTATTAAATTGTACTTTCTTTTGTTCACAGGAAGCAGCTAAAGCTCCTCTGAGTGAGTGTGCAGAACTAATGAACAGTTGCAGGAAATTGTTGCTCAACCGAGACACACAGAAGGGAAACTTTGCATAGTGTTCAATAAAGTTCAGTCAGGTCATCTGGACGGTTTCTTTCCTTTATTTTTATTTTTTTGTTGAGACCTTTCGTCCCTTATCCAAAGTACTTCATTAGTCCGAGGAGCCACAACAAACTCAGTCCCATAAGCAGCAAACCCACATAGTGGGCCAACCAGTTTGATGGTGATAAGATGGTTGGCTATGGCTGCCTCAGAGGAGACGAGGGGGGAGAGGGCGAGCCCCAGAAACCACCTTTTCACCAGCAAACTGGCTGTTCCACTATGGGAGTGTGCTGCTTGTGGGACTGAGTTTGTTGTGGCTCCTCAGATTGATGAAGTCATTCAGATGAAGGATGAAATGGCTAAAAAAAAAAAAAAAAACGACCAGATGACCGGAATGAACTTTGTTAGATTTTTTTTTACCTGGATTAGTGAGCATGAACTTTGATGTTTGCATACTGTTACCTCCAGTACCAAAGTGAAATTATGTATGCAGAACTGGACCATTGTACTGAAACGTGCTGTGGTGGAAACAGACCTAAGTGCAGGCAGGTAGATGAGACAAACAGACGCGTGCGTCTCTGTTGATCCTGTGATGGGTGATTCCCAGCCTCTCGCCCTTTGACTGCTGGGATACTTACCAGCCTCACTGCGACAAAGGACAAAAGAAAAAAATAAAGGATTAACGAATGGTTCTTTGCCATTACAGTAGTAAGGTGTGACACTGGCTTAGGTATAAACAAACATTGGCCCACATTCTTGTTGACTTAGACATTTTTAATATGAAAACTCAATCCAACTTGGATTTTTATCTCTAACTCTTCTGACTAAAAAAGAAAGCCTGAAAAGAGGCATGTTATAAAATCAATATAGGGCGACAGTTAAAAGCGAAATAACTTTTCTGTTATTCTGCGTCTCTGCATACCAACGAGATGGAGCTTTTAAATCTTACATCCTACCTACGTACCTCAAGCCTCACTAAAACTGACTGTAGCATATGTTTGCATTTTATGTCTGTGCATGTGTGGAAATAATTCACCCCAGTGTTGTCGCAACTACCTGTTTCTCATTGTAACAGTTATGACATAGTGAAAAAGCTTTTCTCAGATTTTGATTTATGATTCAGCTCTCAGCGTCACTCTGAAGGCAATTACAAGGTGTGAATGGATATAATATGCATGCACTGTCTCTAGAAGCACGACGTTCTGCCAAGAGCCGAAACTAAGGCGACGCTCTTGAAAGAACATCATCAGTTAGGCTTTTGTGCGCTTGTTTGATGATGCATCTCATATTGTGTGTGTGCATGTGTCAGTGTGTGTGTCAAGGTAAACAAGAATCGTAGTGGGTTTCCTAAAAATTACAGTTTTTCAAATAAGGTTGTGGATAAAAATGTACCCATATAAATTCAATATAATTCAAGAAAGCTTGAAGTACTGTTTACAAAAACACATAAACTACATAATTACACAAGGCCCCACAGTTTTGTTCAGGTACATTCTTTCTGCTGCTCAGGGCAAAAGAGCAGTAGTGTTTTTGCCAGTGTTCATTTGTTTGTCGTGTTAGCAAAATATCTCATGAACCACTGGGTAGATTTTATTAATTTAATGTACATCTACAACTGATTAACTTTTGGAGTCAGTTCAGTGTAAGATGGCCGTCACAGCTAAGCCACTTTAGCAAACATGGCTATAACTTAATCAGTTTTACAAATACAGTAGTCCCTCGCTACTTCGCGGTTTGATTTTCGCGGACTCGCTCTATCGCGGTTTTTCAAAATAAGATTGGACATGACATTGATGGATGAGCCGCACGATCAGCATGGAATTTTTATTTAAAATAAATTATTTTAAATTATTTAACACTTGCTTCACATTATGTTCAGCCCGGAGCTGCAGAAAAAAAATTCCCGCTGCACTGTTGCGCTGCCCTTAATGCAGGATAATCTTCCTGCTGCAGCTGATCAGCTGTTCTCCATGTAGCGGAGAAATGGGCGTGGTCAAGAGTGCTTGCAGGTGGCAAAGGGCAGAGGAGGCAGCGAGCATATATATATATATATATATATATTCTAAAATAAACTACCGGTACTACTTACTAGGGGTGAACCGCTAAATCGGCCCCGATTTCCTTAATTTTGGGAAATTGGAAATTGGCTGATACTTGCATGAGAAACCGATTTTACCGATTTTTTGTTTGTTTGTTTTAACAACAATTGTCCGAACTTCTTTTATATTTCAGAGCACTACCTCTTATCCAGTTAAAACAAGTTTGTATTGTTTCTAAGATATTGTTCAAGGGTATGTTTTTCAATAAAATAATATTGAAATATTGAAGGTGCATTGTGACCTTATAACACCTGACAGTGTTGCTTATAAAACAAAATCAGTATCGACAGTCAGAAAACTGCAATCAGTGCACCCCTACTACTTACTACTTCATGATTTTTCACTTATCACGGGGCTTTATGGTACAGATCCTCTGTGATAAACAAGGGACTACTGTAATGAGTTTAAACTTGGTGTGCTAACAGGTAAGAGTTTTTACAACTCAGACGTCACTATATCACATTAGATTGTACAGAACATCATTTACAAGGTTTGACCGCTCTGTCCTCATAATAAGATGAACTCAGTTCAATACTCTGGTGGACAATAATCTTTTCTTTGGGGCATGCTAAACCTTAAATTTGATGTATTAGTATTTACAAGCATTTACAAGGCTCAGAGTATTTGCCTGCCCTCTCACTGTACTATTCATACATTCAAATAAATACACAGAAAAACAACTTCAACTTTAGTAAACGCAGTGGCACACGTGCACATTTGATTATGTTAGGATGTGGGATGGTAGTGTCTGCCAAAGGTCTTTATAATCTGGAGGAGCTGTAGATCCTCAATCCCATGTGGCTCACCATTGATTTATGTCATTGTGTGTTTTCAGCCTCTTCAGAGGTCACCTTGTGTGTCTCCTTTGCTCAGCACTCCCTCTGCTACGTCTACTTTTGTGCATGGGCTGCATTTGTTTCACCGTCACTCTTTAATCTCCATCTTAAATCCCTCTCGCTGCTTTCTCACACAGCCATGACACCTGAGAGAAAAGGCAGAAATATGGCAGAATCTCATTTTATGGTTTGTTAAAACAGTTGCCGACAATAGTCTAAAACCTTTATCCCTGGAAATTGCCTGAGGTTATCGAAGTTAAAGGAGAGGAATAGAAAAATGTCTCCTACAGTACATTGAGTTATTGTTAAATTGTCAGTGAATGCTGTCATTTAGTCAGGCTACAGGCTATGCCTGCTGAGGCGGAGAAAAAGCAATCATTAGAGGAAGCACGTAGAATCTGCATGCACACAGCAGTCACTTTTGTCAGCGTTACATGTAACACATTCACCACCATCTGTGTCATGTGGTGTCGCTCAGCCTGTCAGCACAAAAAATGACATTTTCATGTATGCACTTTGGTTCTGACACGTCTTCTCGTGTCTCTCCTGCACAGATTCTCTGGAGCCCACCTATCAGCAGCTGCAAAAGATGAAACTGGACAAAAGTCCATTTGTGGTGGTGTCTGTGATTGGCCAGGAGCTGCTGACAGCAAGCCACCATACAGCCTCTGTTGTGGTGCTCGAAGCCGCTTTGAAGATTGGAACTTGCAGCCTGAAGCTCCGCGGCTCCGTCTTCTCGGCCCTCAGCAGCGCCCACTGGTCCCTGGGCAACACAGAGAAGAGCACAGGGTACATGCAACAAGATTTAGAGGTGGCCAAGACCCTAGGTAAGACAGGGGAGGAGGAACTAATGCTAAAAAGTGTTGTTTTTCTAGTATTTACTTATTGATTACTTTTAAATGATGGGATAATAAAGTCTAATATAACCACATTTTTTTATTTTAAGACAAACTCTTAAGTTCTTCTTTAACAGAAGAGTCAAACTTATATAAACAAAACAGGCCCTGTATTATTATATCCAAACCGTACATCTGCCATTACTGAAATTCAAAGTTTTTTTTTAACAGGTTAAACTTTATTTTTTTGCTCGCTGGTTTGATCTTGCTCAGAACAGAGAAGAGCAGCAGAGAAATGTTTTGTCATTCTTCAAACGTGCCTTTTTTTTTTTCTCGACTGCTTTTTGTTGGAAAGCTTGTGTTGTTCTGTTCCTTTAGAAAATACCTCAAATATGTTTTTTTTCTTTGTTTGTTTTCTGTAAGTCGAGAAACAAACTTTGCAATGTCACAGCTTCCACTTTTTGCTTCTTTTGAAACGCTTGCAAAATTTTGAGAGTGTTTTGGATTGCTAGGCTGGAGATTTTACCCTCTGCCAAGCTGCAGAGACTGGCAGTCCCTTTTTTAGATAGGATTCTGTTACATTCATAGGCTCCAACGCCTTTTGGATTTATGTCGGCACTTATTACCAAACTCCCCCTCCATGCTTCACTGTCACAAGTATTTAATCATTGCAGGGTTCTTGGCAAGACACATGCTGGACTCAATGTGTGCAGAACAAATTTATCTTGATTTCATTCAAATAAGGTATAAGCGTTCAATATTCATCAGGCTTTTTATTGTTTCTTCAGCAAAATGTATCAATTTGTGCCAACAAGTGAGAAAGTTCTTTTTTTTTCTGGGATGTTGTCAATAAAAATTGATGTACGACAGTGTCCTTTACATTGTCTAAACTGGAGCAGAAACTCTGACTGATAACCTTTGCCAAGTGTAAAACACTTCCATGTCTGTTTTTCAGACTAAGATTGTAAAAGTATCAGGCAGTAGCACATTGAATTATTTGAGAAGTACTGTAGCCTTGATTAGAGTACAGTGTTTGTTCAGTACTTCCTGGTACTGCTGCAGTAACTGATTTCCACTTGGCCGTAGTCTTCTGCATCCTTTCTATCCATCCTAACAATCTGCAACTTTAATGTGTGCAATCTCATGAGTTGACACGTTTTATGCAGCAGAGCCGTGGTCCTGTAGGAGTCACATCCACCATGTGTCAGGTGATAAACCATAACAGAAATAATGGTCTCAAAAGAGCGTTATGATTCATATTAGTAATGGCAGTGCTTCATTAGCAATGGACATAAAAATCAACCAAAAGGAATCCTTGTCAGTTTTCGGCTCCAGCTGGTGATGAAATGTAATATGAACAGATGAGCTCAGTCCATAAAACTAAATAATTAAAATGACTGGTGTGAACACAGATTTTAGCTTGAATTTGTCATTGATTGCATTTGTCATATATATGCAGAATATTTTTAAAGTATGTAAAGTAGCTACATTTTCTTTTTCTACTTGTTCTTTTTATTGATTCCATCCATCCATCCATCCATCTATCCATCCATCATCTTTACACCTTTCTTCCTTTTTGGGTCATGGGGGTCACTGATGCCAATATCCATCACTGTGCGAGCTGTGTGGGATACCCTGGATGTGTCTTCAGTCCATCACAGGGACACATAGAGACAACGAGACAAACAATCAGTCACTCTCTCACTCACACCTAGAGACAATTTAGAGTTACAATCAGCCTAACATGCATGTTTTTGTTTTATCTTTGAGAGGAAACCGGAGTACCCGGAGAAAACCCACACATCCACGGAGAGAACGTGCAAACTCCACCCAGAAAAGTCCTGGGCTGGGATTTGAACCGGCGACCTTCTCGCTGAGAGGCAACAGCTCTACCAACTGAGCCACTGTGCCAAATTTATTAATTCAGTTTTTATTAAATTGTCTTCTGTTAATTCATGCGTATTTAAAGATGCAATTTTCAAAATTAATCACAAAACATATATTGTTTTCTTCTCATTGTCTTTCCATGCATATATTAAATAAATGTTAATGTTCCACGACCCGACTTTGGAACAAACGTAAGATAATGGATGGATAAATATTCATGTTTCTGACATTAAAACTGTGTAAATGAATCCCACTGCAGCCCCTTAAAGGAACACCTGGTTTAGAAAGAAAGTCACTCTCCAGTCCAAAGCTCTGGGATGTCATACATGGTACATTACATTACACACATTTAAAGTGTGTTTGCTAATATAAAAAGCTGCCACTTATACAATTTAACTTATGTTTTAGGAAAATCACAGAGAATACCAGAAGCTGACAGTTTTATATCATCCTCACGAGATGCTTGGGATACAACAATAGACAGGTTTTTAATATTGTTCAGCTGAAGTTCTGCCACATCTGCCACACCTCTGCACACCACAGAAAACTTTCACCAGCTGTAGTTACTGCGCTCTAAGATTGGACTCATTGTCCCTGACACCTTCTAGCCTTGGTTTGAAACCATCCATCCATCCATTATCTTTACCCGCTTATTCCATTTTGGGTCACGGGGGTCGCTGGTGCCCATGTCCAGCAATCACTGTGCGAGGGGCGGGGTACACCCTGGACGGGTCGCAAGTCCATCACAGGGCCACATAGAGACAAACGAGACAAACAACCATTCACTCTCTCACTCACACCTAGGGACAATTTAGAGTTACCAATCAGCCTAACATGCATGTTTTTGGTCTGTGGGAGGAAACCGGAGCTTGGTTTGAAACCCTCCACTCATATTTGTATCTCTGTAGTTGCTTATATTTCAGTTGTGGTTGCTGGTAACTTTGGGGTAAACTGCTGACCCTCCTTAACAGACATTGTGCTAACAGAGCGAGGTCCTCTGCCTCTGATTGGCTCACAACCTGGAGATCTTAGTCCTTCTCACACAAATTGTGGAAAGGTGTGTTCAAGACAGCTTAAAAGCACAGAACATCTGTCAGTTTAAAACAAGACACACAATTTCAATGTCAAATACGAAACAAATGAAATTTTAGGATGCTCTTCGTGTCCGCAGTAATCTCAGGTGTATTTTGTTTTGTCCCACTGTGTTTCTGGTTGGATTGTGCATTTTCAATGTTTGTTTTTTTTTAAGTTGAAATTTTGAGAATTGTTTTGACATTGATATGAGTGCACAGGTTTAGACTACAGTATGTTTTCTTTGATAAACACAAAGTTTGTTTTCTCAGTCATCCAGGTATATAACAACAAAAAAGGTTGAATCATGTCATCTGGACTTCGTTTTTTT